CAGCATGGCTGGCTGGGGAATTCTGGGAGTTGAAGTCCACTCATCTTAAAGTGGCCAAGTTTGGACAACACTGCATTATGCTAATAAAGAAAGTAACTATATGTAATCCAGTTCCAAAAGCACACATGAATTACCTTCCAGCCTACAGGAACTGTTTGTTGCAAATATTAAAACTATTACCTAACCCTTTGCTTAAGAATGCCTTTAAAATGTGTTTCGAGGGGCTGATGAAAAAGCTACTGCAGTTCATTCTGTTCGTGGCAGAAAACTGGAGACATCTAGAGAAAATATGGTGGCTGGGCCTTTTCTGCTCCAAGAATTAAGAATGGAAGCCCGTCAAAGATTTATACAAGAGATGTATAAATACATATCGCATTGGGGCGATCTTGAAAAAGCTAAGTAGGGTCAGGCTTGGTTAGTAGTTAGGGGAGAGCTTATCAAGAAATCCCAGGGCTAAAGGCTAGTTTGGAAGTCAGAAAACAGGAAGAAAACTATGGGTGATCTACGGATGGAAACAAGGAAGCAGAGTGGCCTGATCCTCAACGTGGTTTGAAGGAGACTTCTTTTCAACTCTGAGAATCATTATGATCTCTCTAAACCAGCCTTTCCCAACCTTTTTGCCCTGGAGGAGCCTTTGCAAGAACTTTCAGCTCTAAGGGAGCCCCTGCATAAAAATGGAAAAAATACTAAAACCTCACCAGACAAGTCACTTCTAACCCACCCATTCCACGGTTTGCCACGTTGACAACGGCAGCAAAGCGGCAGGCCGGCAGCTCAGCCGTGGGGCGTAAAAATCCCCAGCCTTGCAAGCGCTAGCATCGCGTGGATTACGAGGATTACTTTTTTTCAATGGAGATCTCTTGCAGAACCCCTAGGCAACCACTCCAGCAGAAATCCAGTTGAGAAAGGCTGTGTTAAGTGGAGTTCGTGCTGGTTTTGTAGATATTATTAATTATACACTACTGGAATGCTGATACCGAGAGCCAGGTTGGGGTAGTGGTGAAGGCACCAGGCTAGAAACGGGGAGACCCTGAGTTCTAGTCCCGCTTCAGGCACGAAGCCAGCTGGGGGACCTGGGGCCAGTCCCTCTCTCTCTCAGCCCTGGGAAGAAAGCAATGGCAAACCACTTCTGAAAAATCTTGCCAAAAAATCTGCAGGGACTCATTCAGGTAGTTGCCAGGGGTTAAGACAGACTCACCCTCCGCCCCGGCCTCA